GGAATATAGTTATTAAGGCCATGATCATCATGCTGGTCAACTGGGAACTTGCAACATGGCTAATATTGGACTTTATGCTAATAGCAATGAAATCAACTATATGTATATGCTGTGCTTATTTTAAGGCTTTTATAAGTCTTCATGTGTAATAGCTATAGAGCATTAAGATCAAAGTGAACTGAAAATTCTTTTATATAATACTGGAATGAATCCCATAACATCAATTTCAAACCTCATTAGTTATACATAATAACTACAATGCACTAATAAAAAATTTTTATGGTACTGGGCTTAGTGCACAGACATAATTTTCTCAGAATGGTGATGAAGATAGATTATTCCAAAAAGTACCTTCATACTCCAGTTTATTCCAATATGTAATGAAGAAACCTGAAGCAAAAAAGACTATCCATTAAAGATATTGTGTTGGCTTTTTCTGTGATCCTCTAACCTGATCTTTTTTCATAGACTACTTCCCTTTTGCACACTTTTCAAATCTTTCTCACACCCACCAATATGATTAGGTTTGGAGAGGAACAAGAGATCTTGTTCTTCAATGTTCCCAGACTATGGTCTCTTTTTTCCTAAAAACAGTAAGTTTGATCTCTCAAATCATCCAAGTGCTTTTTTTTTAGTCATTAATGACAATCAGACCTTCAAATTCTTTTCATTTTTTGAAGACTTTAGCCCTTGGCTAACTTTCATTCTTTTACAACTCCTGACACAGTTTTTTATTTTCACTTGCTCATAGATGACATTCTATTAATTGCATATCATCTCAGTTGTTAACTCCTCTCTTCCAATAATGTCTTCTACCTTACCACAGCCACTCATTATTCCCTGGACCTCATCATTACAAGTAACTACAATCCATCCACAACTTCAATTTCAAACACCTCATTCTCCAACCACCACTCCTATAGTTCACCCATCTAATACATAACAACCCAACAACTCTTTGATTCCTCTCTCCTCCAAGCATACTATCTCTTGATCTGCCACATTCCCACCACACCACAGTTATCTTTATTTCCCTTCAAACTTAGCTAAAATTACACTGTCAATCATTTATACCCTCAACCACAATCTTGGTTAAATCCATTTCTTCATCTGCATGGAGCCAGAAATGGGGAGGGGGAAAATAAAAAAGTCTGCTGACTGGCTTCCCTTTAAATTCATCATCTCAAATGGACCCTCATGTCATTAATCACACTATACTGGTCCCTCATTATCCATGGAGGACTGCTTTCAGGTTCTCCTTGCCCCAGTGTACAGCAAAACCAGATAAAGTGCAAGTCCTTATATAAAGGCGTGTACTATTTGTATATAACCTGTGTACATCCTCTTGTATATTACAAATCATCTCTGGATGACTTAAAATACCTAATACAATGTAAATGCAATGTAAATTGTTGTTATACTTTTTTCTGTTTAGGGAACAATGACAAGAAAAAAGACTGCACATATCCAGTATAAATGTAATTAAAAATTTTTTCAAATATTTTTGGTTGAATACAGAACCTGCAGACACAGAACCCCCAGACATGGAGGACCAATTGTATGTTATTTCCCTAGCTAAGTCTATTTGTACACAGAATACAGTCCCCCAAAAGAATGTTCATTAAATTCTCCCTCCTGTCTTTCACATCAGTTATTTTCTTTACTGGCTGATGCTCATCAACACCGCAGCATTCTGTTATCTTGTTACCATCATCTCCCATTATTTTACCTCTCCTTCTTTAAGGTTACCTAAAAGAACTGCCTATACTCAATGTCTTAAACTTCTCTTCATGTGTTCTTCTCTGGAATCCACTCCAGGCTTTAGAGCCCACTGCTTCATTAAGCAACTTATCATGCCATCTTTGTTCACATGGCTAAATCAAATGGTTAATTATCAAACCTTAACTGATCTGACCAAAATATTTCATCTGACATAAATTATGACTTTTTCTTACTAGACTGAACACTTCTTGATGTGGTTGTAAAATACAATACTAATCTGGGTCTATTATTTTCCTGGTAACCCCCTTCCTATTCCTTAAGGTCTCTAAATGTTGAGAGTGTTCTAAGACTCATTTCTATCTATATTCATTCCCCAAGATGTTCTATTCTTGTCTCATGTTTTAAAATCCCACTTTTATCCTAAATTTCTATTTCTAGTCAGGATATCTTCCCCAAACCCAAAACTTGAATGTCTACCTGATTACAAGACCTCCTCCTCAGTTGGGAGATCCAGCAGCATCTCCCCAACTGAGCTACTGTAATCCTCACTAAAATCCTCTTTTTTAGCAACCTTACTATTCTGATAAATGGTAACTTATATCCCATTTACTCAGGTCAAAATCCCGTGTCATCTTTGTTTTCTATGCAACAAAAACTAACCCTACTGAATTTACCTTTAAAATATATCCAGATCTGGCCACTTCTCACAATTTTTATAAGCCATCAACACCATCTCTTACCTGCATTACTCAAATAGCTTCTGACCAGACCTCCTTCCTTTCACCTTTTCCTCCTACTCTAACCCTCAACAGTTCATTCTCAGTTCAGGAACCAGAGTAATCCTTTCAAAGAGTAAGTCAAATTGTATTACTCCTCTACTTAAAAATGGTTCAGTGGCTTCCCTTCTCAGCCTGAATAAAAGTGAAGTCCTTAAAATAATCATCAAGATGCTTATCAGCTTCTGTGAACTTTCTGATCTTCAACTGTTCTAGCTCTTGTTCAATGGGTTCCAGCCATATTGGCTCCTTATTGTCCCTAGTACACACCAGACATGTTCTTGCTTTAGGGTCTTGGCACTTTGTTCCTTCTGCCTGTAAAGCTCTTATCCCTAGAGAGCTACATAGCTCAGTTCTCAAGTCTTTACTGTTTCTTAGGACCTCTCCAAAAAATATACCCAGCTGCCTTCTGGTATTTTTTTGGGTACTGGGTATTGAACAAAGAAGCACTTAACCACTGAGCCACATCCCCAGCCCTTTTTAAATTTTGAGACAGAATCTCACTAGTTAATTAGGGCCTCACTAAGTTCCTAGGCTGGCTTTGAACTTGTGATCCTCTTGCCTCAGCTTCCAGAGCTGCTAGGATTACAGGCATGCATCACTACTCCAGGCCACCTAGCTGCCTTTTTAACCCTCTTTTTGTTTTATTTTTTTTTTTCTCCTTAGCTCTATTATATGACATGCTATCTTAGCTAGTGTATATGTATTGTATAAATGCACATGTGGTTCTCTCTATATTCTCCCCCTCTCTCCACATGCATTTTTCTCCTCTCCAAATAGAATGTACTTCATCATCAAGAGGAAAGGGATTTTTGTTTGTCCCAGTGATTGGACCAGTGCCTTCATAAAATAGAAATTCAAACATTTCTGTTGAATGAATGAGAAAATTAATTTAAAAACAGTGATTTTCTTCTAGATTATAACAACTTCCAAAATCCTGCATGCTACCAATATTTTATGGTGACAGTTGTTCACTAAACTATAAACTGAGAAAAAAAGAACCTCCCCCCCAAAACTAAGTAGGCATATAATAAACACAGCTATGATAGCCAACCAGTTCACTAGTCTAAAAACCCACCCAGGCCCTGAAAGGTTAGAAGAAATTAAATGACTAATTCTATGATAGAATCGGTAGTAATTCAACTACAAAAAACCCATTATTCGGAAAAATGACAAATTCTTAAGAACTAAAGATTTTTTAGTAAGCTATTAAAATAAAACTGGACATCATGCGTTCCAATTTAAATACTGAATGCCTTTCTACAAATTAGCTGGTGAATAAATTCACCCCCAGGGGATAAATCTTTTATCATAATATTGCTCCAATTTTATTTTTATTAAGGTATTAAAATGTTTCATTAAATTTTTCAAACTATTTTTGAAAACCAAAAGACATGCTTATAGAAGAATATAAACATGTCAGAGGTAGGGAATAGATGGACTTGTATAAAAATAGAGATAAGTTATAATGCACTTAAGAAAAACATTTTCACAATTGTTAATCAACTATGTGAACACTATTAGGTCAATTTTTCTGTTACTTTCAAGACTTAGGGAAAAGGAATTCCCTATGTTCTTTTTCAGTAGGAAAGATCTGGCAGAGTAAAGTTTGGTGGGGAAGATTATAGTATATAACTGAGGAGAATAAAAAGGAATTTTAAAATATATTTCAAATCTGAATGAAGACAGACTGTTCAAAATAGGTGCTCAAAAAGGTGACCTTGCTGTCATTCTTCCAATAAGGAGGAAAAAAAAGAGTGAGGCATTTGCAGTCTAAAATCAAAATCATTATAATGCTGTTTGAAAGTATTTAAAAGATTGTTGTTAACTTATGATGGTTGAGTTCATGTGCAATATTCTAACCGATGCTTACTGTAGACTATTAGTCATATAAAATACTTATAAGAATTCTTTTTGAAGTATGAGAGAACCAAGTTTTTAATTAAAAAATGACCCACAAAAACCTTTTGGTTCAACTACAGATAAAAACCTTTTATTATACCGAAAGCATTGTCAGGTATTTGGTACTGAATGAATATTCTCAGCACACAGGACAAATGATTGCAAGGTACATGCCACTACCATAACTGTCTATTTAGCAGTCCCTTGGAAGACAGGGTAAAAGCAACAAAAAGTTGTTTTGACAGTTATTCCTTTGTCATCGATTTTGCCACTTAGAAAAAGGAAAAAAAAAATAATTATGTAGTTCATGGGCTGTGGGAATTTGGCCACCATTCATTCCAGCAAATAGGTACTGAGTACCATCCTTGAACTCAAGGAATTTAAGATATGAAAATAAGTGAAAAACGGATAAGCCACCAAGGGGGAAAGTACCTCCCCCACCCCCCAAACTATAGGCCTTCAGCTGGGAAATTACATGAGATAACCCCAATCATAGCCTAGTATACGTCGCTCTATGATAAAAGCCGAGCGACGTTAGTCCATAATTTCTGGGAAGCTGGGAGTGGACCTAGTATTCGACTTCATGGCGGCAAGATGCCATGACTCATTCCACAATCATCAAACGGCAGAAAGAAAGCCACAGCTCCCCACAGCCAAATGTCATATGTGATGATACAGCCGTTTTACTGTGAGGGGATACTGCAAGTTCTGAAGGTGCCTTCCTCTCCAGAAGGGTCAGCTGCAGGGGTAGGAGCAGGGAAAAGAGCGAGCGGAGGCGGCGGAGGTAGGATCTCCGAGGCGACGTCATGAAGGACCACTCTCCAAGCCGCTGGCTGGGGTGGACCAGAGCAACAGAGAGCCAGGACTGCTGGAGAGGAAGTGCTCCGCGCCCCCGGCTACCGGCGCCACCCGCGCTCAGGCGGTTCCAGCTGTCCCGCGGACGCCACGCGCTGCTGCTGTCCCCAGCCGTCACCCAAGGCCTAAACACAGGCTCTCGGAACGTCGCGGCTTTCCTAAGAGGCAGAAGTCAGGTAAAGGCCAAACCCCTCCCACCTACTCACGTACCTGGAGAAAGCGATCCCCTTGTGGTGGGGAGTGCACAGGCCAAGACAGCTTTTGCCTTCACGTCTCAGCCAGACAGCGTGTTCCTGCGGCCATCGGCCAAAATGGCGGTGCCTAGTCGCCGCCTCGCGTAAGCCATAAGGACGTAGTACGCGTGCGCGACAGAGCGCGGGGCGGAGCCCTGGAGGTGGGTTAGGAGAGATGACGGTATGTGATGTCATAGGGCTGCGACCCCCTTCCTAAGTCGTCGTTGGGGAAGCCAGGCTGTCTGTAGAAGTGGAGTGGGAGTGGCGTGGGTCTCTTGCCGGCCCTGAGAGCCTCAGTTGTGGCAAACCAAGTCTGGAAGCTGTAAGTGCGTGGGCTTTTCCCCAGCGTAGAGAACGGTCCTGGCGTTAGCAGATGCGTCCTCAATCTCAATGTTGAATTCGCGGTCTCCTCTTTAGGCTGGTGGGCCAGGTGTGCAGGAGCCCTCGTCATTCTGTCATTCTGGTACGCCAGAAGTGTCAAGCAGGTCCTTTAGGCTAGTCCCCACGGCGTTCGCGAAGGTGTTCTTGTCTTGGCTCCAGCTTCCTCTGAATTGTGTGCTAGGTTCTTCCAGGGCAGAGACCTAGTCTTCTCCGAGCTCTGTGTTTTAGCCACTTGGTGGCGTCCATCCAACTCAGTTCTGTCCCAATGTACAAATGGGCTTTTAATTTTTTTTCTTTTTTCCTTTTCTTTCTTTTCTTATTTTTCCCTTCTTTCTCTTTTATTAAGATGGTGGCCATTCAGCTTGTAGTGATGGCTACAGGTTTAGCTTATGAATGAACTTATTCAACCATTTATTCGTTCAATGCATTACTCATTGAGTTTTTAAATCTCAGGCCTTAGTTTACAGTCCTTTGTCTCTGCCGCCTACCGCCTCCACTGTCATCATTATTATTTTGCGGTGTTGGGTACTGAATCCAGAGCATTGTGCATGCTAGGCAAGTACTGTACCCCTGCCGCCATCGGCCTCTTGCCATGATTTAATGAGTAATTATTAATGTGTGGCTGTATTGGAACAACTTAAGATCTAAAGGGAGATGGTAAAGATTTTTTGGACTTGTTTAGCGTTCGTAATAATGTTCAGTAGCAGTAACTGCACAGCCAGAGCAGTTTTATGTACTCTTCAATGTCCAAGAAGTATTTTTTCACATTTGTATAGATTTGCTAAGATTAACAAAAGATTTGAAAGATGAAGGAGTATTTGAGTGATTCATTTTGCTATTAAATTTTAATTTTTACCTTTTTCAGAAAGATGCTCAGGTCCTGGAATAATGTGTGTATTCTTTGTTTTTACATAGAATATTTAAAACAATGACCACACCAAACAAAACACCTCCTGGTGCAGATCCTAAGCAGCTGGAAAGGACTGGAACAGTAAGGGAAATTGGGTCACAAGCTGTTTGGTCACTCTCATCTTGCAAACCAGGTAAAATAAAACCAAAAAGCTGTTGACAATAGTTACCTTACAATAATATCATTGTACACTGGATTAAGTTGAGTATTCTTTTTGTTTAGATGCTTTTTTTTAATTCTAATGATTGAGTTTTATTACATATTTTTGTTCAACTGCTTTTAGTCCTATGTACTTAAATATGTATTTAACTAGAGGTCATAAGGTCTCTTCTTTATTCTCTACATCTCTGCTATGATTTCATTGTTATTTACTTAACATTTTTTGTTTGCAGTTCTCCTAGATAGATAGATGCAGTTCTCCTAGATAGGATACATGAGTGACACAATTTTGGAGTGATTACATACCTTAAAGAATTTCTTTTAGCCTGGGTTTGGTTGGACGTCTTGGGTAGCAGTTCTTTTCTCTTAATGTGTTAATGCTATTTTCTTATCCTCTTTTGCCATATTGCAGGTAATAAGACTTATAACTGTCTCCTGTTTTCTAAGTAACTTTGTTTTTTCTGGAAGCATCTAAGATTTTTCTCTTTATTCTTGTAATTCAACACTTGCCAGAATGTGGCAGGGCAGGCTATGTATTTATCTTCCCTCATCTATCTAACCAACAATTGGATAGGTATTTTCAATCTGCAGATTCAAGATAAGAGAAATTTCTTTAAGTTGAGGAACTTAAATTATAATTTTTTAAACAAGATATACTGATACATACCTATAATCCCATCTACCTGGGAGGCTGAGACAGGAGGATCACAAGTTCAGGACCAGCCTTGACAATTTAGTGAGACTGTGTCTCAAAAAATAAAAAGTGGTTTAGTTGTCAAGTTCCCCTGGATTAATCCCTAGTACCCCTCTCCACACTCAAAATATCTGTATACATGAACACACGTATGTGCGTGTGTGCACACACACACACACATACACACACACACACACACATACATACACAATCTATTAGTTTGGTAGCTATTCTTTCAGAAATTTTTATTACTTACACACTAATAAGACTTCTGTATCCATCCTCTCTTGCAAGTGTCTCTGCCTTTGAGGTTCTCTTCTCTTTTTATGAGTAGTTTATTGAGGTATAATTTACATAAAGTAAAATTCACCCCTTTTAGGTGTACAGGTCTCTGAATTTTAACAAAAATATGTGTCATGACAGTCAAATATAGAACATTTTTGACATTCTAAAGGTTTCCTCAAGCCCCTTTTGTAGTCATTCTTCTGCCTCTCATCTTAGCTCCTGAAAATTCTGACCTGTTTTGGATTCCTTTGATTTTGCTCTTTCCAAAATGCCATTAAAATATAATCATATATTATATAGCCTTTGGGTCTGGCTTTTTTCACTTAACATAATGCCATTGTGAGTTTTGCTGTTGCATATAACAGTAGTTTGTTCCTTGTTTTAGTCAGTTTTTTTGTTTGTTTGTTTTTTGCTGTGACTCAAAGAACAGACAAGAATGGCATAGAGGAGGCAATATTTATTTATTTGGTGCTCATAGCTTCAGAGATCTCAGTTTATAGACTGCTGACTCTTTAACTCTGGGCCACAAGTGAGGCAGAACATCAGGGCAGAAGTGTGTGGTGGAGTCATGCAGCTCAGAACATGGCAACAGGAAGTAGAGGGAGCCGTGCTTACCGGGAACAAAATATGAATCTCAAAGGCACACCCCCAAATGACCTACCTCCTCCAGTCACATCTTACCTGCCTATAGTTTCCACCCTATTAATCCATTAGAGGATTAATCTACTGATCAGGTTAGACCTTTCATAATTTAATTATTTCACCTCTGAACCTTATTGCATTATTTCACATGTGAGCTTTTGGGATATACCATATATCCAAACATAATATTCCTTTTCATTGATGATTATTATTCCACTATACAAATATACTGCATTCTAAAAAATTTGCTCAAGCACCTTTGTAGTCATTCTTCTGCCTCTCACCTCAGCCCCTAAAAATTTCTGATCTGTTTTAGATTCCTTTGATTTTGCCTTACTAGTTAATAGATAAGGTTTAAAGGAACCAGCTTCCAAAATGTTCCTTGGTGATGCCTTCTGATAATCATGTCCTCTCTAGGCCCCTTTCACATTTAGTCAGGGTCTCTGGAACCAGCAGAATATGGCAAAAGTGACAGTATGTGATTTCTGAGACTAGGTCCTAAAAAAGCATTAATACCTTCTGCTTAGCTCTTGTTTGGATCTCTCATTAATGGGCTGCAAACTAGCTGCCATTTTTCTTTTTTTTTTTCCTGTTACAATTTATTTGTTCTTTTTAGATATCATGAAATTAGATTGTATTTTGACATACATACACAGAGTATAATACAGATAGTACAACTTCTATAGAGTTATATATAGTATAACTTTCTATTGTGGTTGCACATGATGTAGAGTTACACTGGTTGTGTATTCATATGTGAACATAGGGAAGTTATGTCAGATTCATTCTAATCTCTTTCCTATTCCCATCCCCATTCCCTTCCCTTCATTTCCTTTTGTCTAATCCAATGAAGTTCTATACACCCCCATCGTATTGTGTGTTAGCATCCACATATCAGAGCAGCCTTTGTATTTTTGGGATTGTCTTATTTCTCTTAGCATGATAGTCTCCATTTCCATCCATTTACCAACAAATGCCATAATTTCATTTTTCTTTATGGCTGAATACTATTCTATTGTGTATGTGTTCCACATTTTCTGTATCCATTCATCTGTTGAAGGCACCTAGGTTGATTTCATAACTTAGCTATTGTGAATTGAGCTGATGTGGCTGAATCCTATAGTATGCTGATTTTAAGTCCTTTGGATATAAACCTAGGAGTGGGATGACTGGGTCAAATGGTTGTTCCATTCCAAGTTTTCTGAGGAATGTCCATACTGCTTTCTAGAGTGGTTTCACCAATTTGCAGGCCCAGCAGCAATGTATGAGTGTACCTTTTCCCCTCATCCTCACCAATATTTACGGTCACTTGTATTCTTTTTTTTTTCTTCTTTTTTCTTTTTTTTTAAAAATTTTTAAAAAAATATTTATTTCTTAGTTTTCGGCGGACACAACATCTTTGTATGTGGTTCTGAGGATCGAACCTGGGCCGGCGAATGTGCTACCGCTTGAGCCACATCCCCAGCCCTCACTTGTATTCTTGATAATTGCCATTTTGACTGGAGTGAGATGAAATCTCAGGTAGTTTTGATTTGCATTTCTCTAATTGCTAGAGATGTTGAACATTTTTTCATGTTTGTTGACTGTATTTGTTCTTCTGTGAAGTGTCTGTTCATTCCTTAGCCCATTTATTGATTGGATTATTTGTTTTTTTGGTATTAAGTTTTTTGAGTTCTTTGTATATCCTGAAGATTAGTGCTCAATCTTTAAGGTGCACGTGTTAAAGATTTTCTCCTATTCTGTAGGCTCTCTGGTCATGTTCTTGATTATTTTCTTTGCTGTGAAGGTTTTTTGTTTGATACCATTCCATTTATTGACTCTTGATTTTTTCTTGCACTTTGGAGACTTGTTGAGGAATTTGGTTCCTAAGCCAACGACATGAAGATTTGGGCCTACATTTTCTTCTAGTAGGTACAGGGTCTCTGGTCTAATGCCTGGGTCCTTGATCCACTTTGAGTTTTGTGCAGGGTGAGAAGTAGGGGTTTAATTTAGTTTGCTATGTATGTTTTTCATTGTTCCGAGCATCTTTTGTTGAAGAAGCTATTTTTTCACCAATGTATGTTTATTGTGCCTTTGTTTAGTCTGAGATAATTGTGTTTTTGTGGAATTATCTTTGTGTCTTCTATGTGCCATTGGTCTTCATATCAGTTTTGGTGCCAATACCATGCTGTTTTTGTTATTTTAGCTCTATAGTATAATTTAAGGAGAGTTATTGTGACGTGTCTTACTTCACTTTTCTTGCTAAGGATTTCAGCTGCCATTTTTTGAGGAAACATGGTCCTATGGAGAGGCTGATTTGGCAAGGCATCTTGTCAACAACCGTCCTCAACCTACATGAGCAAACCATCCTAGAACAGATCCTCCATCCTTAAGTCAAGCCTTCAGAGATTCAGTTTGACATGACTATTGCCATCTTAAATTGTAATCCCCCTGAGCAATCTTTATCAGTTTTCCCTGCATGGTTTCCTATTACAGCTTGGGCTCTGGTGCCATTAGTAACAGGAATGTGCCTATTAACCATGATAAACCAGATACATTCCAGCTTGAATGTAGTCACTTTTCTCCAGATTATTATATAAGCCCCCTCCTTCTGTCTCAGATTACAGGGATCTGTAAGTCTATTTTATCTTTCATTTTGAGGGAAAATTTCACTGGATACAGAATTCTAGATTGGAGTTTTTTTTCTTTTTCTTTCTGACATTCTCAGTGTTTCACTCCATTCTCTTAGAAGCAGTCTGACATAATTTTTTATCCCCCTCCCCTACCATGAAGTTCTGAGAATTGAACTCAGGGTGCTCTACCACTTAGTCCTTTGTTTCATATTTTTTATTTTGAAACAGTGTCTTGCTGAGTTACCCAGGCTGGCCTCCAACTTGCAATCCTCCTACCTTAGCCTTCTGTGTAGCTGAGATTACAGGCTTATTGCCATCAATCTTGGCAGTTGGATATAATTCTTATTCTTATTTTTGTAGGTCAAGTGTTTTTCTGCTCTGTTCCTCAGCCTCTCCTCAGTTTTGTCTTTGGTTTTCTTTAGTTTGATATGATATGGCTAGGTGCAGCTGTTTTGGTGTTTATCATTCTTGATGTTCTCTGAGTTCCTAGATCTGTGTCTTTCATTGATTTTTGGAAAATTCCCAGCCATTTTTACTTTAAATATTTCTTGTGTTCCTTTTTCTTGTTGTTTTCCTTCTGATACTCAACTACACATATTAATGCTTTTTATAATTGCTGTGACTAAGGGGTTAGAAGCTAGAATTCCTGTAGTGTCCTTGTTTTTGTCTCCCCTCTTATTTGTGTTTCCTTAGAAATTTCTTTGTAAATGGAATCTGAGTCTATATTTCTTTTAATTTTAA